TCTCTCATCAATAAATAAAATCTTTTAAAAAAAAAATCTGTGCTCTGCCTATTCATCCCTCCCTCCCCCAACCCCTGGCAACTACTGATCTTTTCACTGTATTCATAATTTTGCCTTTTTCAGAATGTCAAATAGTTGAAATCATATAGTATATAGCCTTTTCAGATTGGCTTCTTTCATTTAACAATATGCATTTCAGTTTCTTCCATGTCTTTTTATGGCTTAATTGTTTATTTATATTTATTTATTTATTTATTTGTTTGTTTGTTTATTTATTTATTTATTTTTAAAGATTTTATTTATTTATTCATGAAAGACAGAGGGAGAGGCAGAGACACAGGCAGAGGGAGAAGCAGGCTCCCTGCAAGGAGCCTGATGTAGGACTTGATCCCAGGACCCTGGGATCACGACCTGAGCCAAAGGCAGTCACTCAACCACTGAGCCACCCATGCATCCCTGTTCATTAATTTTTAGTGCTAATAAATATTCTATTGTCTGTAGGTACCACAGATGGTTTATCCTTTCACCCACTGAAGGACATGTTGGTAGCTTCCATTATTTCAGCAATTATGAATAAAGCCATGAAACATCTGTGTGCAGGTTTTTATGTGAACATAGAACTCCTTTAGGTAGGGGCACCTAGGTGGCTCAGTGGTTGAGTGTCTCCTTTGACTCAGGTTGTGATCCCGGGGTCCTGGGATCAAGTCCACAGCAGGCTTCCTATAGGGAGCCTGCTTCTGCCTCTGCCTATGTCTCTGCCTTCTCTGTGTGTCTCTCTTTATGAAAAAATAAGTAAAATCTTTTTTTTTTTTTTTTAAAAAGACTCCTTTGGGTAAATACCAGGGAGTATGATTACTAGACGGGATGGTAAGAATATATTTAGTTTAGTAGGAAATGACCAAAGTGGTCATAAAATTTGTATTCTCACTTGCAATCAATGGAAGTTCCTATTGCTCCACATTCTTACCAGCATTTACAAGCATCTTACCAACACTTACCAGTGTTGTCAGTGTTTTGGATTTTGACCATTCTAATAGGTATGTAGGAAATCTCATTGTTTCAATTTACATGTCCCTGATGACATTATGTAGAGCATTGTTCACATGCTTATTTGCCATCTGTAAATCTTCGTTGGTCAGGCCTCTGTTAAGGTCTATGGCTTGTTTTCCAGCCCCCTCCTAGCTTTATTGAGGTATAATTGACAAATAAAATTATATTTAAAGTGTACAATGTGGTGGCACCTAGCTGGCTCAGTAGATGAAGCATGTGACACTTGATCTTGATTGTGAGTTCAAGCCCTACGTTGGGTGTAGAGATTCCTTAAAAACAGAATTTTAAAATTGGGGTGCCTGGATGGCTCCAGTTGTTCAGGCACCTGACTTCAGCTCAGGTCATGATCTTAGGGTCCTGGAATGGAGCATTGTGTCAGGCTTTGCACTAGCAGGGAGTCTGCTTCTCCTTCTCCCTCATCCTCATCCCCCCACTCATGCTCAAGCTTGCTCTCTCTCAAGTAAATAAAATCTTTAAAAAAAAATTTTTTTTAGGGATCCCTGGGTGGCGCAGCGGTTTGGCACCTGCCTTTGGCCCAGGGCACGGTCCTGGAGACCCGGGATCTAATCCCACGTCGGGCTCCCGGTGCATGGAGCCTGCTTCTCCCTCTGCCTGTGTCTCTGCCTCTCTCTCTCTCTCTCTCTGTGTGACTATCATAAATAAATAAAAATTAAAAAAAATTTTTTAAAGTGTGCAATGTGGTGATTTGGTGTATGTATACATTGTGAAAGGAGTCTCTCCTTTGATTTGGGCCCATTTTATAATTGTGATTTTTTTTAAAAGATTTTCTTTATTTATTCATGAGAGACACAGAGACATAGGCAGAGGGAGAAGTAGGCTCCCTGCAGGGAGCCGGATGCAGTACTTGATCCCAGGACCCTGGGATCACACCCTGAGCTGCAGGCAGACGCTCAACCACTGAACCACCCAGGAATCCCTGTTTTCTTATTTTTTAGTTTGAAGTGTTCTTTGCATCTTTTGTATAAATACTCCAAATACGTCTTTTGCTAATATTTTCTCCCAGTTTGTGGCTTGTCTTTCACAGAGCAGAAAATTTTAATTTTAATGAAATCCAGCTTATCGATTATTTCTTTTGTGGATTGTACCTTTGGTGTCGTTTCTAAAAAGTCATCACCAAATCCAGGGTCATCTAGATTTTTTTCCTAGATTGTCTTCTAGGAGTTTTATAGTTTTGTGTTTTACCTTTACATCTGGAACCCATTTTGAGTTCATTTTTGTGAATTCTGTAAGGTTTGTGTCTAGATTAATTTTTCTTTTGTCAAAAGCACTTTTTATATTTTTTAAAATAAGATTTATTTATTTATTTTAGAGGGAGAGAGAGCACAAGTGGGAAGGGCAGAGGGAGAGGGTGAGAGAACCTCAAGCAGACTCCACACTGAGCACAGATCCCAACATGAGGCTTGATCCCATGACCCTGAGATCATGACCTGAGCTGAAACCAAGAGTTGTACACCTAACTGACTGTTAGGTATACACCCAGGCACCCCAGGCCCAGATCTCTATATTTAAAAATGAATCACTGCAGAGAGAAGATAGCAGAAGTATTTCCATTTCAAATAACAAAAATTACATTGAATTTTTTTATTGAGATATAATTCATATACCATAAAATTTGCTGCTTTAAGTTTTCTTTTGAGAGACAGAGTGAGGGGGGAGGGCCAAAGGGAGAGACAGAATCTGAAGTAGGCTCCACACCCAGCACAGAGCCCAGCACACAGCCACAAGGGGCTCAATCTCACTACCCTGAGATCATGACCTGAGCAGAAATCGGGAGTCAGAGACACCCAGGCACCCCTGTACACAAATTTTGAGATGGATATTTGTTTTCATTTCTACTGAATGAATACCTAGGGGTGGATTGCTCAGTCACGTGGTAAGTCTAGGAACTGCCAGACTGTTTTGCAAAGTGGCTGCACCATTTTGCATTCCTACCAGCAACGTGTGAGGACTCCAGTTTCTCTACATCCTTACAACACTTATTATCTGTTGTTTTTTGTTTTTGCTTTTATTTATTTATTTTTTTATTTTTTTTTAATTTTTATTTATTTATGATAGTCACAGAGAGAGAGAGAGAGAGAGGCAGAGACACAGGCAGAGGGAGAAGCAGGCTCCATGCACCGGGAGCCCGGTGTGGGATTCGATCCCGAGTCTCCAGGATCGCGCCCTGGGCCAAAGGCAGGCGCCAAACCGCTGCGCCACCCTGGGATCCCTGTTTTTGCTTTTAATATACTAGTGAATGTGAGGTAGTATCTCCCCACTGAGATTTTAAAAGTATTTTTGGATTATAGATTATATTAAATTTATATATAATATAGATTATAGATTGTAGAATAAAAATTGTAGAACCATTATTTTAGTGATTATTTTAATTAGTAAAAGAGTTTTTTAAAGATCAAAATTCAGTTATTTCTTAAGTGATTAATGAGTGCAATTAATGAATAATCATTATCTCCTACTCTAGCCGTGTTTTATGACTTCCCACAGGTATCTAAATTAATTCTATAACTCTGACAATTATACAAATATTGGAGGATTACATTTCTGATGGATAAAATCAAGATCTACAATAAAACCATTGACAGCTAGACATCCAGAATGACAGCATGCAGAAAGAAAAATTTTCACTTTTGATAAAAGAATACAGCTACATTATTCCTACTTGGGGTCTTTGCTTTTATTTTTTTTTTAATATTTATTTATTTATTCATGAAAGACACACAGAGAGAGGCAGAGACACAGGCAGAGGGAGAAGCAGCCTCCTTGCAGGGAGCCCAATGCAGGACTGGATCCTAAATCTGGGGATCAGGCCCTGAGCCGAAGGCGGATGCTCAACCGTTTTGTACAGGTCCACTTTGAGATGCTGGTGAGCCGTCAAAGGGGAGATATCAATAGACTAGCATACTAAAGGTGACCAGCCATCCGAGCTGTATATACATGTCTCCTTGGGGGGTATGCGGGATGGTCACTGAGTGGAGGAACTAAAGGGGCGCCATTCCATCTGTCCCTTACGTAGAAAAAAAAAATGATACCTTGGTTCCTGTGGGCTAAATGTGGCCCAGAAGCTCAGCTCCTTGAGCCAACTACGCCATACGCCCATAATTCAGTATTTTCTGGGCCTGGGTCCCACACTCGAAGCTGTCGCTCACCCCAAGAACCGCCAGGACGTTCGCAGCACGTCTACGGAAAACCGCAGGTCGCCGAGAGGGGCGGGCCCAGGGAGCGCTGCCTGCTGGGATTTGTAGGCTGACGGCGGCCGGCGGTGGCTCAACCTCCTAGAGACGCCCGCTGGGTGCGGCGCCGCGTAAAGGGCGGGAAGTTGAGCCCTAAACCTGCGTCAGTCTTTCCGGAACGGTTGTCCAAAAAGGCAAGTGTGGTTCTGCCTTTTGCATGGAATCGTTTAATGGCATCTTATTATTAGTTAAAGGATAAAGTCAGAGTACTAAAAGGGCATTTAACATCCCTTTCATCGCTTTTCGGTACCCGTGGTAACCTTATTTCTTAACACTTCCTAATTATTCAAGGCTCTTCTGGAGAAAGGGGCTCACTTTGGACCTCTCTCCTCTGTGCTTCCATAACACTGTCTTACAATTCGCTAATAATAATTATAATCGTGGCTGGCTTTCCTGACACTACGTGTTCTAGTCCAAGCTGATTCCCGCTTTAGCTCATTAATTCTCACACAACCCCCTTAAGATGGTTGCTATTATTTCCACTTCCAAAATGAGGAAATCTTGGTTTACAGACGTTATGGAACTTGGGGAAGGTCACGTTGAAGAGTCACAGTGTTCAACCGCGCGTCTCTCCCACCGAACTACGAATTTCAAGTGGGGACCGACCGACCACCTTTTTGCTTTCCCGCGGGCCACGCCCCGAGGGTGGGGCTCTGATGACGACACAGCGTCCCATGGTGCCTCGCGCGGCCGCGCGGCCATTGGCTCGGCGTCTGGGCTCCTTTTTCAAATTGAGGCGCCGAGTCGTTGCTGGGTTTCCTAGGTTTCGGGCGGAAACGGTATTGGTAGTTCCGAGGCTCCCGCTAGTGCGGGACAGACGCCTCGGTCAGTTAGAGCCCCTGGTGGAGAGCGGGGACGTCGAGCTGCTTGCGTGGGTGTTCCCGGCTCCTCCGCGCCCCACAGCCGGGGTGTCCGCTGCCCAGCCTTGGCCTTCCCGCGGGGCTCGTAATGGCGTCGCAGCCGAATTCCTCCGCGAAGAAGAAAGAGGAGAAGGGAAAGAACATCCAGGTGGTGGTGAGATGCAGGTAAGGCGAACCAGCAGGATTGGGAGCGCTGGGCTCTGCTGGCTTTGCTAGCTTTGCTGCTGGGCTCCCTCCTGTGCTGTCCCGAGAGAGGAATTTTGTTTGCTGTTTCTGCGGGGAGCAGACCTGCCTGTTGCGTAGTTCTCCGCATTCTGATCAGTAAAATGACGCTAGATTGCTCTGAGGAGTAAATTAGTGTGTTTCAGAAGAAAGAATGTTTGTATTGGAGGTTATAGTTTAAAACTGCTTTTCAGAGGGAGAATTTGATCTCCAGTCTTTAGGGAAAAGTGTGTTCTTTAAAAAAAAAAAAAAACTAAAGTTGACAAAGACTTAGGTGGCGTTTTTATATGCCACTCCTTGCAATTTCTCAGTTGGAAATAAGACTGCATACCTACTCTGTAGATGTTTTAGTACTGATGTTGGGGTTACCGTCCTCTCTATCATCGCTAAAAACATAATCGATCACTTGTCTTTTCTTCTAGATGCAATATTTTCTTAGTCCCTACCAAACGAGGAAGCATCATTGTCTTTAAATTTTAAAGGTTAACTTATAGAGTGAGTTTATGTTTTTAAAAGGAGTCAACGTAAGCCAGTATAGCTTTATGATTGTACTGCAACTTGGTCTTCCCTAGACTGAGGGAGATAGTTTCTTCGGGGTGAATGGGTGGAGGTGTTCAACTCTCCCTGGATTGATTTACAAATAATTTCCCAATTTTAAAATTAATCTGTAGAGGAAAAACGTACTTGTTATACAAACTGTTTCTTAGAGATTAATTTATTCAGTTTTTAAGAAGCCCTCCAGAGTTCACTGGTGTATGTGTATTTTGTGTGTCTGTTTTTGTTGCTGTTTTAAAATTCTGCCAACTCTCAGCAACTTTTCTGTAAATCCAGAAGTTCTGAAATTTTAAAAAGGGCTATTTTAAAAATGTGCGAACAAACTTTCTTAAGTTGTTGCCCTCAGCTTTGGTGATTTGAACTGTTGATGTCAAAGACAATAGCTAGCTTTTTGAGTTCGGTGTCAGGGAAGAAATTCGGTGGTGACCTTAAGGTTGACCAATTTACTAGTTGTACTCTAGAACTTCTGTTAATAGTTGTTTTGAAGATTGAAAAAAATTAACAGACTGTAATACAAACGTGAATTTTTACTTATTTATTTTTTAAAGATTTTATTTTTAAGCAATCTCAACACCCACTGTGAGGCTTGAATTCACAACTCTTGAGATAGTAAGAGTTGCATGTTCTACCTACTGAACCAACCAGGCACACCACAAACGCAAATTTTTAGATTATTTTGATAATTTAATAAAGCCAGGCAATACTGCTTTTTCTGTTTGGTTTGATTTTCTTTGATTTTCTTCTTTTTTTTAAGATTTTATTTATTTGAGAGAGAGATAGCAAGAGAGAGCAGAGCAGGAGAGAAGGGCGGAGATAGAAGCATTCTTCCCTCTGAGCAGGAAGTCAGTCACAGGGGCTTGATCCCAGGACCCCAGGATCTTGACCTGAGCAGAAGGCAAATGCTCAACCAAGGGGGTAGTCCAGGTGCCCCTTAAATTTTATTTTTTTATTGTTAGTTATAAAATATGTCAGACTTATAAAAAGTTATAGAGAACAAAGTAACAAACATCTGTGTATCCATCACCTAAATTAGAAACAGACAAGTCATTACAATTGGAGCCCCTATTGCATCCTTTTCCAGCCCCCTTCCTCTATCCCAAGAATTAAACATTATTCATGTTTATTATCCCCTTACATTTAAGTCCTACCTAAAATGAGATTTCTTTTACTTTGTTACTTATGAAAAGTGTTTAGGTTGTAACTAATTATTCACAATAATTTTTGTGTAAAGAGATGATTTTCTTTTCATGCTTTCTTTTTCAAATATTTTTCTTAGAGCAAATATGTCCTTAAGCTCTAGTAAATAAACAATTTATGAGACCCTTGGGGTTGTCAAACCTTTTCTGTAAAGGGCTCTAATAGTAAAAATTTTAAAGTATTTTAGGCTTTCCAAGCCACATGTAGTCTCTGTCATATATTTTCTGAATTTTTTCTTTAGTTTTACATTTTTAATTGGCACAGTTTACTGTAACCTAAGATTTCAAGAAAGAGATGACTTTATCACAATGAATACAATCTTTATGATGTTCTTGTATTATAACTATAGAAGAGAATTTTGTTTTACATATATATAGCTCAAGAGGAAGGTATAACTTTTGGAGTTGAGGAACTGATAGTTTTTATAGAGAGAAATTTTAATAAGGAAATAGGCTTTGATATATGTATATATAAGACACATGCAAAACATTCCTTATTCTTGTGTAGTGTACAGGTTAGCATAAGTCCTAGTGAGAATGTAACATAAAGGTTTTAGGATTTAAGTTAATCTTGGCATTTTAATCTAGACAAGTGCTTTAGCAATTTAGATCTGAATATTTATGAATCATTCATATATTTAGAAGTATATAATTGTATTTTTAAAAAAGGTTCAGACCAATTTTCCGTAAACAGTAACCTAATGTGATGCTATAGTTACCAAATGGAAAACAAGACTAATAATTCTGTATTTTTTTTTAAAGATTTTATTTATTTATTCATGAGAGACACACACAGAGAGAGAGGCAGAGACACAGGCAGAGGGAGAAGCAGGCTCCATGCAGGGAGCCCGACGTGGGACTCCATCCCGGGTCTCCAGGATCACACCCTGGGCCGAAGGCAGGCACTAAACCGCTGAGCCACCCAGGGATCCCCTAATTCTGTATTATTAAATCAACAAAGAATATTTTAGAGAAAGGACATCTTGGAAAATGAAGACTTCAGAATTCATTATTCCAAATTCAAGAGTATTTTAGTTATTAGCAGTGGTTACCAAATAAGCTGAAGTTAGATCTCTTTAAGGAGCTGCTTGTAATTTATTTTGTTGGGACGAGAGGCAAAACTGTTTCACTATGCCACAAGAAGATGATGCAAATTTTTTTATCCCTGAGAAGATTTTCTGAAGTTGGTATCCCTATCAGCAAAGGGGCGCTTATGGCATGCTCCTCACAGTAGGAACATGAATTCAGTGATGCTGTTGAAACCTTTGTTCTTTTATGGAAGGTTGCAGTTTTAACTCTTGCACAGTTCTCTTTGCCTGAGCTATGTTTATTGGTCCTTGCTATTTTTGCTGGACATCTTTTACCTGAAATCAGTAATACTGTATTCATTTGGTTAACATCACACATCCAGGCTAAGAGATTAGTTGAGAGATACTAAGAATGATAGACTAATTGAAAAAGCTATTCCCACATGAGAGCAATTCGTTCTACTTAATACCCTTAGCCTACCTCAATATAAGTTGGTTTTGACCTAGGTTTGTCGAACTTTTAATAATACTGCATGTCATGGGTTATGTGCATTGTGTAGGTTTCAATATATTTGATGATCGATGGCATTACCATATATTACCTGGAAGTTGCCGAGTTAAATTTCCCAGGATCATAAATTTGGTTTTCTGTAAAAAATATGCTAGGGATGGGTATGCCAGAGGATGTTGAGGTATCCTTTTTAAAATGAATAGCAACTTGGTTTGTCTAATGATGAGGGGAAAGATAATTTCCTATTTGGCTTTTCCTTTCATTTTATGTGATAATGAATGAGAAAAATGAACTCCGGTCAAGAGTACATCTCGGAACCCTGGGTGGCGCAGCGGTTTAGCGCCTGCCTTTGGCCCAGGGCGCGATCCTGGGGGCCCGGGATCGAATCCCACATCGGGCTCCCGGTGCATGGAGCCTGCTTCTCCCTCTGCCTGTGTCTCTGCCTCTCTCTCTCTCTCTCTCTCTGTGTGACTATCATAAATAAATAAAAATTAAAAAAAAATTAAAAAAAAAAAGAGTACATCTCACTCTTTGGCCCAGAAATCTGTTAAGTATATAAATATCTGATAGATGCCACTCTGTAGACCATGGTTCTTTTTAGCTCTTTTATCATTCCTCTTAGGATGATATTTATTAAGCTATGTAGTTTAACAGATATTAGGATGCCTGCTGTATGCCAAGCATAGTAGTAGCCATTGGGAAACTGAGTGTAAACTAAACAAGATTTCTTTTTTTTTTTTTTTTTTTTGAGAGAGAGAGTGCAAGTGAGTAGGGAAAAGGGGAGGCAAAGGGAGAGGAAACCCAGCACCAGGGCCACCACAGGGCTCAATCCCATGACCCTGAGAAGAAATCAAGAGTTGGATGCTCAACTGAGTCACCCCAGGCATCCCTAAACAGGATTTCTTTTCTTACATTGTGAGGTTGGCACTATTACTTAGCCTCACTTTTCAAATGGGGAAGTATATGCACACAGGGCTACATTGCCCAAGCAGAGCTGATCAAGAGTCCACACTACTGAAAGTCCAAGAAGGAATTTAGCTTAGAAGATTACTTCCTGGGCAGCCCGGGTGGCTCAGCGGTTTAGCGCCACCTTTAGTCCAGGGCGTGATCCTGGAGACCTGGGATCGAGTCCCACATCAGGCTCCCTGCATGGAGTCAGCTTCTCCCTCTGTCTGTGTCTCTGCCTCTGTCTCTGTGTCTCTCATGAATAAATAAATAAAATCTTAAAAAAAAAAAAAGATTACTTCCTTTAGGAGTCTATCCCATTACCCACCCCTCTTCTCTCCCACTCATCCCTGTCCTAATCAATTAAATTTTTGCTATATATTCCTACAGCACCTTTACATATCCTTTCTAAACATTACTTTTCTTATAATCATTTGTGGGTTGTTTTGTTTTTAATTTTTATTTATTTATTCATGAGAGACACAGAGAGAACGAGAGGCAGAGACACAGGCAAAGGGGGAAACAGGCTCCATGCAGGTAGCCTAATGTGGGACTCGATCCCGGGTCTCTAGGATCATGACCTGGGCTGAAGGCTGCGCTAAACCACTGAACCACCTGGGATGCCCAGTCATTTGTTTTATGTTACTATTCCCCACTAGGACAAACTGAGTTAACACATGTGAAGCATTTTGAATAGTGAATACCTAGCACATAGTAAATACTCCATGTATTAGTCATTTTTATCTATTTTTTTTATCTTGTGCGAATTATCCACTGAGAGGTTAGTATTTTGAACACAAATTTGGCATAGTCTTCCTACTATGTCATAACCTAACTTTCTCAGATTCTAAGAATTGTGGAAATAGAATTCTGAAAAATAAATTTGGCATTTATTACAAGTTAATTCTGTTAGTACCTATTCCAAGAAGCTGTTGGAATTGTCATGTTTTACATGTCTTTGAAAAGTAAAGAACTTACTTATTTCTGGGAGTTGAAACTAAAAATTGTGCTGTCTGCTTTAGCAGTAGTCTCCCATTTAACTCCTGTCACCAACAATGTTGTCAAAAAATTAACTTTGTTATTGTCTAAGTTATTATTATTATTTTTAAAGATTTTATTTATTCATGAGAGACCCACAGAGAGAGAGAGAGGCAGAGACATAGGCAGAGGGAGTAGTAGGCTCCACATAGGGAGCACGATGTGGTGTGGGACTCGAGCCTGGGACCCCAGGATCACGCCCTGAGCCGAAGGCAGACGCTTAGCCGCTGAGCCACTCAGGCGTCCCTGTCTAAGGTATTAATAATAATGTCATCTGTAGCCTGATAACTAAGAGTTTTTTAAATAACTCTGTATTTCTCTTTATAGACCGTTTAATTTGGCAGAACGGAAAGCTAATGCCCATTCTATTGTAGAATGTGATCATGTACGAAAAGAAGTTAGTGTACGAACCGGAGGATTGGCTGACAAAAGCTCAAGGAAAACATATACTTTTGATATGGTACCTATTTCTTTCTTTCTTTCTTTCTTTCTTTTTTTTTTCTTTTTTTTTTAAATATTTATTTGTTTGAAAGAGAGGTAGTGCAAGAGTGGGTTAGGAGCAGAGAGAGAAAGGAGCAAACCAACTTGGGCTGAGCGCAGAGCCTGACGTGGGGCTCCAATCTTACCATCCTGAGATCACAACCTGAGCCGAAATCAAGGGTGGGATGACCAACCAACTGAGCCACACAGGCACCCCGGTACCTATTTCTGAAAATGCTACTACTCGTTTATTATTTACTATGTCAAGTTATCCTTGTATACATATTTTTTTCTAGGTTCTAGTGTACAATCCCAAGTTTCAGTTGACTCTGAGTTGTCCAATGGATATCTAGTGGGCTGAATGAGTTAATACATTAAAAACAAAATTCTTAAAGTGAGTAATTTTGAAGTATTTTATTCCTGAAGAATTTATTTTATTTTATTTTATTTTTTGGATAGGTTTTTGGAGCTTCTACTAAACAAATTGATGTTTACCGAAGTGTTGTGTGTCCAATTTTGGATGAAGTTATTATGGGTTATAATTGCACTATTTTTGCGTGAGTAAAACACAATTTTTCAAATTGACGAAAAGGATTAGATGCATGTGTTTGTTTTTTTATTTAACACTTCTGTTGATTTTGACAGATACGGGCAAACTGGCACTGGAAAAACCTTTACAATGGAAGGTGAGAGGTCACCTAATGAAGAGTACACTTGGGAGGAGGTATTTATTGTTTAAAATAGATTTCTGTCTCTTAAAGTGACTGAATAATAACTGAATAAAAAACTTAGCTGAAGTCCTCTTTCATGAAATAGAAAAGATCAGTATGCCCATGTCAAATATGAATATAGGATGAACTATTTTAGTAAAATTAAAGTGTATGGTTCCTGTTTAAGAAAAACATAGTGTCGGGGATCCCTGGGTGGCGCAGCGGTTTGGCGCCTGCCTTTGGCCCAGGGCGTGATCCTGGAGACCCAGGATCGAGTCCCACGTCGGGCTCCCGGTGCACGGAGCCTGCTTCTCCCTCTGCCTGTGTCTCTGCCTCTCTCTCTCTCTCTCTGTGACTATCATAAATAAATAAAAATTAAAAAAAAAAAAAGAAAAACATAGTGTCACTAGGAGAGAAAGGACCAATACATATGTATATATGTATATGTGTATATATACATATACATATGGCACAGTTAAGTGATAAGAAAGCGGTCTGTTTGGGACAGAATAGTTGGAGCAGAATATTGTGGAAAAGTGGAATGTGAGTATGGCTTGAAATGGAATACTGCAGCATGGGAGTAAGTCTCATCAAGTTAGCATAGCAAGGGGCTGCACAGTACTTTATCAACACTGATCTTGAGTGTTTAAGAAATTAAGATCACTGTATTGTTGGATAGCGTAGAAAGCACATAGTACGTTTTACAAAGATTTCCATCAAGTGTGCTTCAGTGAGTTTAATGACTAAATTAATTTTCCAGGGATCCCTGGGTGGCGCAGTGGTTTGGCGCCTGCCTTTGGCCCAGGGCGCGATCCTGGAGACCCAGGATCGAATCCCACCTCGGAATCCCGGTGCATGGAGCCTGCTTCTCCCTCTGCCTATGTCTCTGCCTCTCTCTCTCTCTCTCCTTGTGTGTGTGACTATCATAAATAAATAAAAGTTAAAAAAAATTTTTTTTAAATTAATTTTCCAAATTGTTGACATTATGTTGATCCTTTTTTCTAGTGGTTACATAGTTGAGGCATTAACTTTAAGCATTGGTAATAAAGTTATGGAATTGTGACCATAGGAAATAAGGAATAGGCTTAAAAAACAGTTTCAAAATTTAGAGATTCATAGTAATTACATTACAGTACCTTAGATATTTGAGAAACAACTGTACTTATGTTAGAATTAGGGAATATACCTCTTAGATGGACCACTGTTCTGTTAACATGGTAGTATTATTAATGTTCTCCTGAGACAACTTAGAAAGCATTATTAAACTTGGCTTTCTGAGTAGCTTACTTCAGTTGGTTTCTATGTAATGCTCAGGCATGAAGTGACAAATTTGTGGAAGGTATGAAGAAGAATAATTACTGTTGAATAAATTCTTATAAATGATGCGGCTTTTCTAATATTTGGTTAGGTTTTTTTTTTTTAAGATTTTATTTATTTATTCATGAGAGAGACAGAAAGAGAGAGAGAGGGGCAAGAGACCTACGCAGAGGGAGAAGCAAGCTCCATGCAAAGAGCCCGATGTGGAACTTGACCCCAGATTCCGGGATCAAACACCATGAGCCAAAGGCAGACACTCAACTGCTGAGCCACCCAGGCATCCCTAAACTTGTTTTGACATATTTGTGTTTAAAGATTTTATTTATTTAGGGAGAGAGAGAGTACATGTGAGTGGGGGGAGGGAGGGAGAGGAAACAGGAAAGAATCTCAAGCAGACCGCACACTAAGCAGGAAGCCCTACACGGGGCTGGATCCCATGACCCATAAATCATGATCTGAGCTGAAACTGTGAGTCAGATGCCCAACTGACTGAGCCACCCAGGCACCCCTGATATATTTGTATTTAAATATATTGTAAAGAAGGCCCTTGTTATGTGTGTTTTAACTGCAGTAGTAAATGGCATTCTTCCCTTGTTTTAGTCCTTATTAATATTGTAATTTCAGGATCCCTTGGCTGGTATAATTCCACGTACTCTTCATCAAATTTTTGAGAAACTTACTGATAATGGTACTGAATTTTCAGTCAAAGTGTCTCTGTTGGAAATCTATAATGAAGAACTTTTTGATCTCCTTAATCCATCTTCTGATGTTTCTGAGAGACTGCAGATGTTTGATGATCCCCGTAACAAGGTAACTCAGTTTTTGAGAATGAAACATCTCTGTATCTTAGTGTGTGCTACTTTGAGAAGTAAGTATATATATATATATATATATATATATTTACCAATCTAATGAATGATCTTTTGATATTTGGTCAGAGGGGGGTGATAATCAAAGGTTTAGAAGAAATTACAGTACACAACAAAGATGAAGTCTATCAGATTTTGGAGAAGGGGGCAGCAAAACGGACAACTGCAGCGACCCTGATGAATGCATACTCCAGGTAGGAAAGCCAGGGTCTCGCTCTTGCTATTCCATTTTCTTTTTAACGTGGGACTTCAGATTGGGGTGGGTCACAGAATGTGAGTCACATACCTAGATGGTGTGTATGCTTGATTTCATGCTTTAGTTATTGGCTTGAGATTTAGAGTCAAGCACCAGTATTGGGAGAATGTTGAAAGGAGAACAGAAACAAGTTGAATCAGCAGAAGTATTAAACTTTTTAAACTAGATTATTTTTTCTCAAATGAAATTGTACGCAGGAGCCTAGGTTAACAAGGGCCTGATGTGGTTGATTTGATGGTGGGATGCTCAGAGGCTTACCTCCTTAGCCTCAGATAGAAGCTGTATGTCAGTACATAGCATAAGATAGATATTGAAACACTTTATGGTCTAGTGGTGATTATCTTGTATTTCAGCAATCACTGCTATTTACTATTTGCTTTTCAAGAGAAGGTGTTAACTTTTCTGATGACATTTTCAAAGCAGAGCAATATATTTTTACAACAGCTGACATTGAAGGCAAGTAATCTGATGGCTTGTGTGGTACTGTTTGAATTTATGGCGATGACATATTTCAAGAGATTCTTATGAATAGGAAGATTGATTGCAAGCCTTCTCTGATGTACCAGGCAACTGTCCCAACCTGACCCCACATCCAGCTTTTAGAGGTCCGAAGATTCTAGTGTCTCAGTCTTTTAGGGTGTTTATAGGTAGTTTCTTATTGGGGTCCCTTCTGCAGGGCAGCAGGTAGAAGAAAGCAAAAACCTAAGCATTG